GCAACTAAATGTGTTATTTCTTTTCAAAATTTTCTTAACAGCCTCAAAATGTTTCACGAAATATTAAATTCTCGCGATATTTTGACGAAATATTAAACTTCTCGCGATATTTTGAAAATAGCGCAAGAAATTCAACTAAAAAAACGATGGTCTTGACACTCAAACTTGACATGAAGCATGCAAGACACCAACAAAACCACTCCACCACACATGAGAGAGAGTGTTTTCTTAGCCTATGTAGTTTATATAGAACATGTATTAAACTAAGTTTAAAACATTAATAATAATAAATTCAAATAATTTAAATGTTAATACAAATAAAATTAAAATAATTTAAAACATTAATATTAATAAAGTCAAATAGTTTCAACGTTAATACAAATAAAATTAAAATAATTTAAAATTAAATTCCAAATGTTAATATCAATATGATTAAAAAATTAAAAGAAAATATAAAATGTATATTAAAGATTAGCGCAATTAAATTAAAATGCTTGTAAGTCCGTAGCTTTATATTAATATAAAATGAAATTTCAATTTAAATGATTGAAATTATTTAAAATAAATTAAAAGGTACATCATTTATTTTTGTTAGGATTTAAAGATATATAAATTTAAATTAAATTATATATGTTATATAAAGTTTTTAAATAGAAATAGATGAATGAAATGTATTTTCGATATTATTACAAATTATAATTAGAGATTCCTTTAAAAAAATCATTAAATACAAAATATTTGGATTTGAAAAATTATTATTACATACTATATTATAAATAAAAGTATCATCTTATTTTATTTCATTTTAACTAAATTTAATTTGGTTTAATGTAATTTTACTTTATTTAGTTTTATATATTTTATTCTACTTATTTTATTTTTATTTATTAAATTGCATTTTTAATATCCAAAATAAGTTACATTTACATTTTTTATTTATTTAAACTTTTTTTAATTTATTTTAGTTTTTTATTATTTATTTATTTTATGATATTTTATTTTAATTTATGTAATTTTTTATTTTTCTAATTTATATTATTTGTTTCAATTTATCTTATTATAAGTTTGTATTTTTTTGTAATAAATGTATTTATTTCTATTTTGATATGAGATACCATACCTAAAGGAGTGAACTGGTCAAGTAAGTCGATCGAATGAGCCAAACAAGTCGCTCTGGTCGAACAGAGTCCGAGTGCGGTGATCGTGGTCGAACTTCACAAGAACAAGAGCCGCTGGATTAGAAGACAGCTTAAAGAAGGATTCTGGTACATAGAGAGCAGGTCGACCCTAGACCCTCTGAGGGTCTGGTCGAAGATCGACCTGTGGCACAGATGGTCATCTGAACGACCAAAACCCAGACGAGAAGCGGTCAGTGTCTCACCCTAGATCGACCTAGACTTGATCGAGCATTCGAGGAGATCTCAGAGGAATCAAATCCCCACGTGAAGAGGACACGTGGCACGATCTGATTGGTCTATGTTGCATAATTGTCTCTGACACACCTTCAATGTGTGTTGTACGATTAGGCAGGCCGGACAATTTTGGGCAGCCAACGGAGCTCATCCGGACAGCCTTCTAGAAACAGGTACCTCAACCCTATATATAGGGGTGACTTACGATTTTAGCATGACATTTTTATTATACTCTTGAGAATTGAGTTGGAAGAGATATTGACTTAAGCATCGGAGACTCTTCACCGGAAAACCCCTTTGGTGTGAGAATTTTTGCAGGTACTCGGCGTTTCACCGACAAGAAAGACGAAGGCAAGCCGATTTTCAACCGGTCAGGGTGTTCGACGTACATTAGATTTATTTTATGTGGTATTAATATAACTTAAAATTGTTGCATTAGAAACACTAGTCTTGTTGTAGTAGTTGGAGGGATAACCTACCCACCTTATGGTAAAGGTTTGAACTCCAAAAGCAGACATTTTTATATTTTGATTAATTTTGTTTAATAAAGTCATTGAGAGTCAAATAGTATATTAACAAATTCCATTGAATAAAAAATCAATAATATTCGCACAAGCCTTGTGTGAGGTACATGCACCATTATCTTTGACGGGAGAGAGTAATCGTGCAAGCCAAACCTAAATAAATACATAGGGTTTTTGTTCATTTTTTATAATGCAGGGGAAAAATGCCCAATTTTTTTCTAAATGCATGGGTGTACTATATTTTTTTACCCATTAAATCTAATACAAGTTTTATGCTTTATCCATCTATACAGATGGCTAATTCGATCTTGCCCTTACCAGCAGGACTGGTTCTACCAGTTGCCAGTCGGGTCAATATACAGCTTCGAGTGATTCAATTATCAGTTTATTAACCAATTCTCGAGCGAAGAAGCACGATAAGACCTACCTCGCGTTGACCAAGGGGAGACTCTCCGCGAATACGTGGCTCGTTATACTAAGGAGTGTGTGGAGGTCCCCGCAACTTTTGAGGAGATTAAGACATGGGGTATTCCTAGAGTTCTTCAATTAGGATCATGTAGGAACTCATTAGAAAAGAGGTCAGGGAGGCCCTTTGACGAGCTGCTGGACAGGTACAATAACTACATTAACATACAAGAAGCTGAGGCTAACTTTTGACAAAGCGATTAGACCAAGGTTAGGCGAACAGAAGAGAAGCCCCGCTTACATGATACGTGAGAATTAGGGTCGGAGGAACCCGACAATGACGGGTACAAGTATGGGAAGCATGCGCCCCTAGCAGTGCTCCAAAAAGAAGTGTTTTAGGTTCTTGAAAAGCGGGGGGATACGGGGGGGGACACGGGAATTTTCTCCCAATCTAATTCCATTATGAGGAGGATAGGGTATGTGCCCTCGTGAGGTGATGCATATTGTAGATATCACAAAGATTATGGTTGTTTGACCAACAGTTGCAGGGAGCTAAAAGACAAGATATAGCTGCTCATCCGAGCTGGGCATCTTAAAGAGTTTGTGCTAAAGGGCAGAGAAAAAAAGAGATGATCAATAGGACCTGGAAAAACGTAGACAACCTAACGCAAGCAGATAGACTGGCCAAGAGGGGCGTAATTCAGATGATCGTGGGAGGTCCCAGTGACGGGGACTCTAGTCTCCCACAATGAAAACAAAAGGACGTATCGCGGCAACGAGGTCATAGAAGTCTAAATCCAGCAGCCCAAGGTAACAATTATGTTCGGGGTGGAAGATGTGCAAGCATCTCAACCCCGCACAATGATGTCTTGGTCATCACCGTGAAGGTCGCAAGCTACAACGTTCAGAGGCTGTTCATTTACATTTGTAGTGTTGGGTTCAGTGAAGAATGCTCGTTGACCGTGCTTTAAAAAAACTAAGATAACAATCCTATTTGCAACGGAACTAACAATCGGATTGGAATCTTACTTGCAAAAATTCTATAGAGCCATCGGATGGTTTTTTTTATGGAGTCATCCACCACTTAATGTATTGACACCTGTCCAAATTGTATTTATTGCAGGGCACGTGTCAATACACTATTGGTGAATAAGTGTGGATGGCTCCATAAGTCGAGCCATCCGATGGCTCCATAGCAAATCTGATCTTACTTGTTTGTTAATGTGGACTCTGTATAGATATACACTGGCTACGGGCCCAGATGACGGTTATGAGTAAATCTTCAACCTACTCGTCCACCTCACCGTGTGCGTCTAGTCTTGTCTTGCCTTGCCGCATCGGTTCTCACACCTCGTCTGGTGCTGCTCGCATAATTATTAATGATACGTCCAATTTGGACATGCATTAGTATACAACAAAATATCAGATAATTGTTAATTATGCATTTCATTTAGATATGCAATTTTTATATCGCGTATAATTTCGTGAGTTGGGGATGTAAGAGAAGTTTTTTTATGAGACATTGTGTAAAAAAAAATGCATGTATATATTGGAATGTAAAAAATGTCAGGCCCTAGGGGATAACTGCTGTCGGACTGTAAGGAATTACTGTATCACCCTATGCATACAAAATTAATTGTTTATGCCATGTAACAAAGCCAACGGGGTAACGAAGAGAAACCAAAAGAGAAAGAAAATGATAATCTTGAATAGATGCAAAATAAAAATGTTGCATCACAATACCCGTAAAACGCACATCAAACTAATTGTTACACTCATTGCTCTTCAATACCATCACGTGTACAATGAATTACGATACATATGGTGACTAGAGAAAAAGAAAATGATAATCTTGAATAGATGCAAAAAAATGTTGCATCACAATACCCATAAAACGCACATCAAACTAATTGTTACACTCATTGCTCTTCAATACCATCACATGTACAAAGAATTACGATACATATGGAGTCACGGCTCGACGATGTCAATTATGTAGACAAAACCTTTCTTCCTAAGAAAATATTTGCAATGGACAATATTTCTCCAGACAATCTTACACATTATTGGTTCTTTTAATGTGAGCGGCCTGAATATAAAATGAACCACCTTATGGTGACAAGAATACCGATACATGGTCAAAATACATCTACCTCAGAGAACTTCAAGAGTAGAAAGAAGCCAAGAAAAAACCACGAATGATTTGTTATTCAATTGAATTTCTCTCAAGATTTTCCTGCTTCAGCAGTTTCTCCATCTTCTGCCTGTTCCGCTAGCCTGATAATATCTTCCACAAGAATTTTTCCCTCTGCCACAAGCACAGATGCAAAATTATCCAATTGTACGAAAAAAAGCCATCAACTCATAAAAGAAATCGAACAATTTCATTACCCAGAAAAGCAGAAACCTAGTTTTTATTTTTATTTTTTCCTCAGTAACATTTACTCTTCTCTTAAATTTTTTAAGAGTCATTTCAACTGTTCAACAAAAGCTCACTGTGGGCAGTTAAATTCACACTTTTCCATGATTCAGTGGAGGTTTCTACATACCAGCACAGACACACACACGAAACTCTTGAAGAAGAGATAAAACAAATATATAATGCCTTATGCCACAATTTCAAAACATTCTAGCGAGAAAATATGCTTTAGGAAGAATGGGGAAAAGATGAGTAACATGACTGACCCCTATCCTTGGACAGTTTCCCGATAAGTTCTTGAATACCCTCCTTATCTAAAGTGTCCTTCAGGTATATAGCAGCAGATGCAACCTCCTCAGGAGTCACTTTTCCATCATAATCTCTATTCATCAATGACAACAGCATTAGAGTACTATTTTTAAAAGATAATAAAGAGAGAAAATAAAAATAATGGAAATGTAAGAGTTCAAACAAAGAATGATTATATCTCAAAATTTTTATTTTTATTTTTCGGGTAAAAGCAGATTTTAGAAAGCAAAATATGAATATTGTAGAAGGCAATCAGGCATTTATTTACCAGCTGAAACTTATTTTCAGCAACCAATGATTTCTAGTTAAATCAGTTGAAGAAATTATGAAAATCACAAGCAAATCTATACTGATGGAAGAAATGGGACCACAAAAATATTAGAAGTTACTCAACCCAACAATATTGGAAAAGGAGATCTTTCTGTCCTGGCCAATAACTTCATAAAATCCCTTCGCTAAGCTGCTCTAAGCTCTAAATGCAAATTAAAATTTAATGGATTTGCAAAAAAGCTGTTATGGATGCACGTTGAGGACTAAAAGAAAGATTTAGAACATGATTGTTGAGCAACCGGATTTTTACAAAAAACACTAGCTCAGAAATAGAGTTGCAAGGACTCCTGTAGCTTTCAATTATAGCCGTTTCCAGTGTTACCTGTCAAGCAATCTCCAACGGTCGCCAATTTTAAAATCTACATCATCAATTTCCTTTTCAAGCTTTTGGAGCATAGCATCAACCTACAACATGAAAAGACCAACAAATACATAAGATACAAACATAATTCAACATCAGTCCACCCGTTGGTAACTGCCAAAAGAAGGCATTCACAGAAATGCACGGAAAAGTATTAATATTATCCTCACCCTATTTATTAGTGCTGCAGATACTTTATCACCCGAAGCCCTCTCAGTAGCATCATCACTTTCCTCTCTAGCTACTCTATAAGCTTTTCTGGCTTCTTCTTCTCCTTCTTTAGCCTCTTTTTCTACCATGTCATTGTACAGACCAATCTAAAATCACACATCAAAAAGACTTTGTCAATGCGAACATTTTAAAATTATCATAAGATACATTTTGCTTAGAATAAATGAGAAAGGCAGGTTCACCATATTTGCATCAGTAACAGTCCCAAACATTAGTGATTAGTTTGATACTAAGGCATCATATACATTAGTTCGACTGGATATATTGGACTTCACAGCATCAGTTAACTTAAAGCACAAAACAAAATGATCTGTGAGAGAAAAAAAATTAAGACCATAACATAGAATGACTTCTTTCCCAGATTATTTCTTGCACTGTTACTTTCACGAACCCTAAATTATGTCTCAAACAGGTCAGTCACTTTAAATGTAGTGACTCTGGAAGATAGTGCCACTTGAGATTTCCGAGCAACAAACGGCAAGTGAAAAGGATCAAAACCAGGTTCAATGCATATATGAAAGGATACAACATAAGAAAAGCCTGAATGGATAAACATAGTTTGTTCGTTGAATATAAATAAATTTATTAGCCACCATTCCCCATTCCTCGTCTGCAACGCAAGAGTAATATGATCCATGCATTGGATGAGTTCAAATGAGGGGTGGAGGTAAATTAGAAAGTATTAACATCAGATGAAATTTCAAATTGGGAGACAAAATGGACTCTAGTTGCGATAAAACCGAATAAAAAAGAATGATTGTATTTGATCATCATATTATTAGTTCACTAAATATAAATGCCCTTTTACAAAACACTAATAGCTAATCCGCAGTTACCTCTTTGTTGACCAGTCTCAAGAACTCTTCCCGCTCCCTGCTCACCGACTGAAAGAATAAAAGCAAGTCAAGCTTTTGTGATTGTTATATTAAGCAAAGGAAACTTGATCCTCACCGATGCTGAAGCTAATACTGCCAATGCACGACTGAGCTCGGAGAGTTGTTCTTGCTTATCCAAACTTTTGGCTTTTCCACGTTCTTCTGCTTCTTTTGCAGTTGCTGTCACCATCTCCTCCAACGCGACATCCTTCTGCATTGGGGCAGATTCCTTCAGCCTAGCCTGCTCCTCCTCTTCTTTCTCTTCCTCCTCCTGCAATCAACACCTTATGACTATGGAAAGAAAGTAATGAAATACCCAACGAACAAAGCGAAGCGAAGTGAAGTCAAAAATAATAATAATAATAATCAAGGATGACCTTTACAGATCCAATGACTAGAAAGAAAATTGTATGCTCAAATTCTTAAAGTTGTAAATAGCATCAATGATAGAGATGAAGCACAGTGGAATACATGACAGAGTAGATCCCGGTATGAGGATAGGAAGTATAACAACTTAATACCAAACAAACTATCAAGAGTCATATGGCATGAATTGTTACTTGAACAAACCAAATAGGTTCCATCTAGTAGATCTGGCCACAATATGTGATAGTTCCCTTGAAATGAAAGTCAAAATTCTTGCCAGTTCAGTTAATATTTCGAAGGAACTGAATTTGGACAACAACAACAGCAACAATAATAATAAGAGAGAAAATATAACCATCTTATGTATAAACAGTAGAAGGATCAAGGTAGTTGTATTCAGATTTTATTTTTTGCCCTCCGCATAACTACATTTACTATTTCTTCTTTCCATGAGAATTAGTAAAGACCGATGAAGTCAGACCTTGATTAATTCTTCTTGCATTTCCAGGAATTCTAACTTCCTCCTTCTTTCAGAGACAGAATCTTCAGATGGTAATGCTGTTACTCCAACAGTGTCCACAACCTCATCAGGTAGAGATGACAGCGTAGCTTGAACAGCTTCCTCTGGCTTGACTTTACCAGACACACTAAAAGCCCTGTAGAAAGGTATGAACAAAAACAGAAATTTACCCAATGCTGTAATCCCAAGTTCATAATGATTGTTGATGTTTTACCTAGACAATATTAATAAAGATGATGGTACTGAATGGTTGAGAGATAAGTCCAGCCAATCTTGAAGCTGCAGAGAAATGCATATCCAAATTTAAAAATAATATTCTCTACCAATTGTCTTGATTACAATACTATATAACAGAGAAGGCATATGAAAATCTCCATTGTGCAGGTTGAGAAAGATAAATATTGATTGCAAACATTAGATATTTAGATAGGTTAACTCATCTTTTACAAAGAGTAATAGAAGTTCTAACAAACTGACAAACCCTCTAAAATGTCTTAAACCTGTTTTCTCATTTCATCAACTGAGAGGAGTCCAAGCAATCCACGATCCCGGCATGCTTGGCGAAGCTCCTCCTCAGATAAAGACTCTATGCCCTCCGCTTGAATCATTTTATCGTCTTCCTTTATCCTGCAGCGAGCAAATCAGATTTCTTAATGAATATATGAAACTCAATTCATCAACAAGGAATCAATTTTTTCTTAATATTAACTAAAAATATTGTTTTCATAAATTCTCATTCCTTAACAAGAATCAAGTAGCTGCTCTTTTTCTCTTTCCATTGAAGATAATTTGGTACCCTTTGAAGTTCTATATCTCACTGTTTTGACTTATGATTACGAGTAGTGATCTCTAGTAAGTACGTAATATGTAAATAAAATTGAAGCTGGATACAAAAATGCTTACTTCTGAAGCTTCTTTCGTAGCATATACCGCAGATACGCATCCGTACCGTAAGTACTAATACCCATATATTTGCACATAGTCATTAACCGGGGTCTGCATCAGAGACGATATGGAGAATTTTAAACATGAAAGTAGCTCTATCACCAATAAGTTCCCCAGACCATAGAGAAAAGGTAGAAAGAAGTTGCAGCTGTACATCGAGAATTACCTGCTGATGTTATCCAGAGTGAGCTCGTCATTAAACAACTTGGCAAAGCCCAAGATTTCACTATTGGAAACACGTGCTCCTGTCCTGACCTGGCCAAGTTAAGAGGATATTCACACAAGAGTGAAGACACAAAGCAAGGAATAATTCGAAACACAGCTGCTAGAAATGTCAGTGCCTTGCTCATTACAAGAAAAATAAGATTGGTTAAAGATTGCTATGTATTTAGGTTTCTCAACCTTGTTCATGAAATCATCAAGATCTTCAGCAGTTTTCTTTATTTCTCCACTTCTTGAGTTCTGAACTTCCTTTGCCATTTCTTTTACGGTCTCTTGTAGAAACTTTGCATATTCTATCCTTGCATTAAGCCTCTTTTTCAGAGCCTCCTATAATATGCACATTATAACTGAATATGTGAGTAAAATATGGGAAGTGTTGAAAACAAAGGGCATTGCAAAAGGAAATAATAAACTGAAAAGATGATCAAGTAAATAACTCCAATTCTTCCCATTATTAACAAATCCAAGTAGAGTATGTATGATCCTATGAGAATTTAGAGTGTTTGGGGGCGCTTGCGATCAATAATTTGAAAATTTTCTGCGGGGACCAAATGTGAAATCACCGAGTATCCTACAATAAATACTGGGGATGAGTAAATCACGTTCAGCTTGCACAATTAAACTTTATTGCATCTTCATCTCTGTGACCTCCATAATCTGAATTCTGAAGGAAATTTCTAATCGTGTAATACCATTTGGAGAACTTCTAATTTTTTAATACACATTATTCAATCTCTAATCTTAGAAAAAAAAAAACCAATGAAAGATGTTTGTAATGTGTGTGTGGTTATGAAAGGGCGGCCAATTTGAATCGGCCAGATTGTGAGTTTCTGCCTCAAAGGAAAAATCATCTTTACATCCACCGTCATCTGTAATCATTGGCAAAAGCAACATCCAACTTGGGACAGGAAACAACGTTTTGCTAGCTTACATGGACTGCTATTCTATGAAGTCAAAAACTAAGCAATGCACATGTGTATTTTTGTTTTACATTAATAGCCTAAAGCAGACATTAAGATTCAAAGAGCATATTGACATCATGGCTACAGACAACTTTGAATGTACAAGTAACAAAAGTACGGACTATACAGGTGCTTGCGTCTCCGCAAAACCCAGTAAAAAATTCTTAAACTTGAAAAGTAAAAAAGCTAAAAAATGTGAAAGGAACAAATCAATATCTCAAAGAGACAAAGACTAACAGGGATATACACATTTCCAGAAAATAGTTTAAAAAATCATATAACTGTACCTGTTCTTTCATTCTGTCCTGGAAGGTCGATGGCAACATGTTTGGAAACAATTTCAGGAACACCGGCAGCAAAAACTCCATGAAAGGAACTATAATGAAGACAGCAAAAGGAACTAGCCTGAAGATGTCGGCTGTAGTTCGTGTAAGCTGTTGCCTCTCCCTCCTGGATAGAGTCTTCCCACTAGCAAGTTTTAACAAAAGCCTCAAGCTTATTCTAACATCAACCCACAGCAGTTTTGTACCTAACCAGTAGTGCTGCAATGTGGATTTAAACTCATCCTTCCAGTGCCGCAATTTTATCCCCCAATCCTCCCTATTTTAAAAGGATAGAGTCAGAAAATCTCAAAACAGTATATACTGCAATCAAAGAGAGAGAGAGAGAGAGAGAAGAAAAACAAAAGAAGAAGCCAAATTTAACCTGCTCATAGAGGCAACAGCTCTCAAAGCTGGACCAATTCCTAAAAGCATCGCCCATATTCTCTTCAGTATAAAGCTGGCATCCCTCTTGGAATCTTGCAACAGCTTGGCTTTAGCTTTGGCTTTGACAGAGCTCAAACCTTCGACAGCCTGGTCACATTCTTCGGGCGAAGGTTCCTTCTTCTGCTTTGTCGCAGGTTCTTCATTTTTATTATCACGGCCTCCTAGTTCAGGCTGGCCTGCTGCAGCAGTTGATAGATAACGTGCATGTTCTTTTGCCCACTGAAATCCCAAATGAGAACATTCTCCATATATTCCAACCTCATGGCGCAAATTTGGAACACAGAAAAACTTATAATCAATCTGATTTTTTGTTGAAGTACATTTTGAAAAGTGCTTTGATAGAGTCTGAAAATCTTCCTTCTCTTTATAATGCTCATCAGAGGATGACGTGGTCATCGGTCGGTGCCAAAGCAATGAATCAGGAATCTCCAGTGATTTCCCATGCTCGGAGCATAAGAGACCTTGAACCAAGTAATTGGATTGTTTAATTGAACCAATAATATACCTTTTCTTTCGCAATATTGCTCTTGAAGCCATTACTAAGGAATCTGAATATGTCTAAGGTAGCATATCCCAAGCAAACTCTGATAATTTACGGATGCCAGTTTCTCAACAACGGAGTTCAGTCTGCACAACAGGGCTTGAATCAGTAAAAAGCACATAACTGATATTTTTGCGATGACAATGATATTACACTAAATAGCAGTCTTTTCTAGTTGATTTGAGATTTAAGAGCTTCTGCATGTCAACACCAGCCTACGACTCATAGTCTTGCTGAAACTTGCTCTTAACACTATATTATTCCATTTTTAAGGGTCTGTGTGATATAGAGAAGCTTTGTTCCAAGGCATCATTAGTGTAATGAAGTAATGAACAGATATATGCACATGTCCACTGTGAAAAGTAACAAATCATGCTTTAGGAACTATTCAGTTCCAACACTTTATGTTTGGGTACTTTCTTCTTCAGTATGCATGAACATCTGCAATTAATTAAAAGAAGGTATGCAGATAGCTTAACTCAATATTTTGCACTGATCAGTCAAATACAACTGATAAATGAGCTAGGGTAGAACTCATCCAAAAAGCTAACTCAAAGGAAGAGGGTGCCCAACCCACATGTATACACAATAACAGCCCGGTAACTTACCGATATGGGACAAACACGACTTCTAACAAAAATTATGTACCACGTGTTAGAACACAGAAAATCATGTAATAATAAGACAAATAATTACCTCAATCCCATATCATCACAATCCTTCTATTCAGTGTCGTTATAAAATCTCTTTTAAGAAATAAAAATAAAAATAAATACTGCGCCATTGTAATTGGTATTTTCGTCCTCCAGCTGACAGCTGACGGAGGCCACCAGAATGAAAGTCATAACAGATAAATTTTTCTAGTTTCATCTGGTTTTGGAACTAGTGAAGAAACAGCTCAAACTTCTGTGTCTTCAACAAGGAGAAACTATATTTCCTTATAGAGTCCTAATGGAAAGTTCCAAAACTACTCAACCATCTCAGAAAGCGGGTCAGGATAAACGATTGTTTAAAGCGAAAAATAAATAAATCGCCCAATTAACAAGACGAAGCTCCATGTCGCTATCAACCGCAACACTACACATGTTTATAACAATCTGCATTATGGATAATCTGAAAATCGAAAATCCAGGCAGTAATAATCCGCAGGGCAAATATACTCAAAGGATAATCTATATATTTCCAAACAAATACAATCACTTCAAAACGCGATGAAAGAACCATAAGAACTCAGGAAAAAACAATAGATACTTCTGAGAAACCTGAAATTCGACTGACCTGAGAATGTAACATATGATCGATGAGGGGAAAACAGAGAAGAAATCCCAGGTATATCGTCAGTATTGTTTCTTTATTATATTTTTCAATAGAAGAAAGGGGGCTTTTGGAAGCAGGTTTCAGTGTGGCTGCTGCAGCTGCACCCCAACTGCCAAGCCATAGCGTACAATTTTGTTTATGCGTCTTTGTAAAAAGGGTATTGAACTTTTTGTTATTTTACTGCATAGTTTTTAAACCCAATCCGGGAATCGACCCGAGAAGGTCTCCGGATCACTGGTTCAACTAGATCATCGGGTCAATCACGGGGTCATCGGGTCAATTGTTAAAAATAGATAGTTAATTTTAAAATTTTTTATCTACCTTCTTAACTTATAAGAAAATAAGAGACTTGCTTTAAAATGCGACACGTGGCTATTCTCTTCTGCGGCCTTTTGGCTTCTCCTTTCCTCCGATTTTTTCTTTCTTTTTGCTTCTCATTTCCTACGATTTTTTTATTTTCTTTATACGGTCAGGAAGGCACTGGAAGCTCCATTTTAATAATCCCCCTCAAATTCTTCTCCCCGAAACCCTAATTCCCCCACAAATTACGAACCCCCAAATTCTCATCCGGCGAGACTCCCTCAGCCCCCGCCGCCGCGGTAGCAAGAAATCCCACCCCACCGCGTTGACACCTCCGTCTTCTTCATCCAAGAAGAACCCAAGCGGCCCACCAAAGCAAACGAAGCCCCGAGCACCCCCGCTGTTTCCGACCAAATCCCCGACGCTGACAACGCTGAAACGAGCTGTACGACTTAGACGATAGCGTGGACTTCATCCGCCACTGGACTCTGGAATTTACAGAATAAAAATGCTATCTTTATTCTTTTTTTTTTTTTCCCGTTTTGCTTTGTTTATGTGGGTTCTGTTGATGGGATTTTGACAAGATGAATTGTTATTGGTGGTTGGCGGTTGGATTAATTGATCATTGTACTAATTTGGGTCTTCTTCTTTTGTGAATATTTGATTATAATTGTGATTTTTTTCCATTTTTTCATTTTGGGATTGGATTTGTGTGCTGTGGATTGGATGTGCTCTTGATTAAGTAGAAAGAAATTTTCTTGATTTGAGAGTTTAATTGATCATTTGTGTTTTTGTGTGTTTGATCATGAACTTCGTTGATTTTGGGGGTTTGAGCAATTGACCATACGTAGCTCATTGTCTTCATATTTACTTCCTGACTTCATGTGTCTTGGTTGTTAACAGGGTGACCATTTTCCATGAAATGCATTGTTTAAAGCTTGTTTTTGTCTTGTAATCGACGAGATGCTGGAGACGGTCCAGCGAGTTAGACTCGTGCTTCACCAGAAGGAAGAAAGCATGCAGGAGGAGTGCACTAGACCCCAGCGAGCGAGGGTCCCGTAGGCGGGATTCTTTTCAGAGAAACTGTGGCGTGCAGAGTCAATGGTGGCTCTCTCGCTTTAGAAATCATGGTTGTTGATTTCGAGGAGCGGGCTGAGAGCAGTTTGGTCGCAGGCTACAATTTCAGGCCAAGTTTTTCTTCACCTTTTTTTTTGTTTAGTTTAAATTATTTTATCTTTTGATGGACTGAATACGCACAACAATCACGGGCCGATCATCGTCGAGCCTCTCCAGCAACTCGGTGCTCCTGCGGGCCGGCAGCCCTATTGCCACCATCACTTCACGCACGCTACGGGCCCACCTGAGCCATGCGATAGGTAGCATCTCCACAGGAAACGCTTGTAGGTTTGGGGAAATCTCGCATCAGAGACCAGACCACAGGCAGTCGGGCATCAATCGACCGAGTCAGCATCAAGCTGCACCTATTCGGAACCATAGGGTTGGTGTGGTAAAGAGCTTTCATTCTCTCCTTATAAATAAAGCTGCTTGTCATTTTTTTCTTTTCTTTTTTTCCTCTCATTTAATTGCTTCTTTAATACTCTCGTTTAAAATTTGTGTTTTCTGCAGCACCGGCCTTGGTGGCACCTCTTAAAGTCTTCACTTCGTTCAAAATGACACCGATTAGGGGATGTTTTCCAACATGCTTCTTTGCATTTTTTTTTCCTAAACTCTTTCTTACTTGATCGCGATTTTTTTTTCCC